GGGGGGGGTGTCCCTGCCCATGGCGGGGGGGTTGGAACTAGATGATCTTTAAGGTCCCTTCCAACCCTGACAATTCTATGACTCTATGATTCCATGAAAAGTAAAAATTTCAGATGCCTTGAAAGCCCATATATTTAGATTTATCCCGCATATATTTTTAGAACTCTTCTCCTATAAAGAATGTCTCCACTACGGGAAATCCCTCTGACCACCTCTGGTTTAAAAGAAATGCAATATTTCTGCAGTCACCTTATCTTCTGGAGTCGTCTTTCACACCTTGACGTTCTTTTCATCCAGGCCACATCCTGGTAGACTTTTTGCTTCTAATATGTTTAAATAAAAAGATATGACTAGTTTTTATGTCTTAGAAATCTGTTCCTCACAGCCTCTTTGGCAGGATTTACTGGTATTTTATACTCAACTTGCATATGTTCATGCTCTGTTTTGTTTTTAGTTTCCTCATTTGTTATGGTTTCTACTTTTAAACAGTTTCTTACATATTTGTAATAGCCACTTTTATCAACTGTTCCTGGGGTCCTTTCTAACTGACTTTTTATCTAGTGCAGTAAATGTGCCTTTATGTGGTACTATGTGCTATTGGATAGCCTCCAACTGTCCTGTAAGCATTTTATATTTGTAGCTGATTTTAAAAGGTTTTTAATTAGTTTCAAGTTTTTGAAGGTACTTTTTCTTTTTGAAGTTAAATATCACTTTGGTGGAGGGTTTCTCTTTTAAAGTTATAAGCAACATTGTCCTGTACAATGCACAAAAAAAAGCTTTCCTCTGACCAAGGACAGCCAGAAACAACATCCTGTGAACTGCGCTCTGGATGGCCAGCCAGGTACCTTCTCTCTTCCACAAAGGACTGAGATCTTTCTTTCTCTAAGAGAAGATGGTGGGCCCAACAGCTCTTTCCATCACTTTCACTGTTACATTTTCTCAACAAAGATGTGTGTTTTGACAGATTAGTTTTTCTACGTTTTTTCTTTCTTAGCATTTTCATGTTTCATTCTTACATACGAATTCACAGCTCAATTCTAGGAAATACTGAGCATTCTCCTATGCAGAAGAAGACTCATTGTATGAAAGGACACAACTTTTAGCTTCTTCATTTTGAAAATCTGTGAAGTACTGGAAGCTATGAAAAAGATCTCTGTTGTATATAGGGGCCTTTTGTTGCACTCACAGCATGTTTGAACATTTTATTTGAACTTTGAACATGTTCAACAAAAAGCTGCAAGAAAAGTTATGAACAGGAAGTTATTTGAGAAAGAAGATAAGGATGGTTTTTTGTCTAATCATGAACTTACCAGGCCACCAAAAGCTGAGCTCCAGGGAGCTGACAAGTTTTATTGTCTGGATTCACAATCATGGGATTCAGAATGAGCTGAGCATTCACTGTCACAACAGGTCTGGCTCTGAGGGACAGAAACAAGGTTCACTGCATACAGAAGGACCACATTAGTACCTAAGTTTTCGCAGAGAAAATACAAAGATGGCCACAAAGAAGGCAGAAATGTAGGGTTACTTGGGATAAAACACTTTTAGAAGATGCTTCTACTCAATTTTTTTTTTTTTTTGGTCAGAAACTGTGATAACTCCTACTTTGACATTTTCAAAGTACTTCACCAAAAAAAATAAAAAAACACAAGTTAAAATCATTGCTGAAGCTGAATCCAACAGTTAACCAATATGTGGGTCCTGACACTAAGGCACATCAGACACATTTCATCATGTTGGTTTTTCACGAAAAGCCAGAGTCTGACTTTTGGAATTTACAGCAGTCCTTTAGCCATTGTTTTTATACTGTCTCCATTAACAGCAACATATTCAGATTCGCTATCTCTGTTTAAGATTCCCAAAAAAATAAACCATAATTTGGTTAAAGTAGGAGTTGATCTAGAATATCTCGAGCCGATAATAAGGTAAATTCTGTCTGACATGTCTGCAGACAATTGACTTTGGAATCCAGGAATAATAATCACAAAATTCTGCTGAGTATGTGAATATATAGTTGTGGTGATGGGAACCATCCCTCTGAGTAACAATTTGCTATGAAGTAATGACATAATCTATAACTGAAAGCAGTTTAGAAGACAAATGAAAACAAGAAAGGATCTAAATTCTGTTTTTCTGAGACAGAAGTACTATCGTACAGTAAGTTACATAATTCTGGCGAAACCAGCTTATTACAAAATTGCCTTCCTCATATTTTAAGCGAGAGCTGGGCTGAGAGAGTTAGGCTTGCTCAGCCTGGAAAAGAGAAAGCTCTGGGGAGACCTTACAGTGGCCTTCCAGTACCTGAAGGAGCTACAAGAAGGCTGGGGAGGGACTTTTTACAAGGGCCTGTAGTGATAGAATGAGGGGTAATGGGTGGAAGCTGAGAGTGTAAGTTTAGACTAGATATAAGGAAAGAGCGTAGGTTTAGACGAGATATAAGGAAGAAGTTCTTTACTCTGAGAGTGGGGAGGCCCTGGAAGAGGTTGTCCAGGGAAATTTTGAATGCTTCATCCTTGAAAGTGTTCAAGGCCAGGCTGGATGGAACCATAAGCAACCTGGTCTAGTGGGGTTGGAACTAGATGATCTTTGAGGTCCCTTCCAACCAAAATCATGTTATGATTCTACGATTTTATGACTACTTCCCTATATTACTTCAGCAAGACATTAAAAGATAAGATTGCGACCTTCATTTTTGTGCAACAGGGAAAAACTTTTCTTCTAGCAAATTCCAGTTAATAAAATTCTGTTTCTCCAATATGACAAGTTGCATATTTGATACACTCTGGCCAGGAAATAGCCTCCTGCTGTTCACTTTCTTAAATTAAATAGAACACATTTTTTATTGCTATCTAAAATACACACTGGATCTAACTCTCCAGTGTTTCACATCCTGCACAGTCGTTCATTCCACTGCAAAATATTCACATGATTCTTTGATAGGGCAGTAGGAAAATCAGGTTTACCCACTGCACCTACAGTGTTAGCTAAAATGGGATAATATTCTTGTTTTACAAAATTCTTATACTTTGGCAAACGTTGTTGCAGCAATGGATGGTGAATATTTAAATGCAAAGAACTGTCAGCATGGCTGGACTAAGAGGACAGCATCAGATTTTTGTTTATGTAGTTGGTAGTTTTAACTTATACCTCTAATCAAACAGTGCACTTAGTGAAAATCCACAGTCAGCAGCAACTTTGTGATTTATAAAATGGGATCTCATACATTTTTTTCTAAACTGAGGCTAAAAGCAGCAGTCTTTATCTTCAATAAATAGTTCACATCTTAATGGACATGGCCTCCAAATAATCAGTCATTTGAAAATTTCTTACTAGCACCATTGTCACAGGAAAGAAATTGATTTTCAATGTTATGCTTTTTAAATTTCTTATTTAAAATTAAATGAGGAGTCAAATATTCCAGAAGTTTCTTGAGCTAAGACTAAGCATGGAAATTTTCATTGAAAATGACAAGTTCTGAGCATGGGGAAAACAAATAGTTTTCTCCCAAGATGATTAATTTATCATCTGTAATGAGGATCTTCGACACATTGTACCTGTGAAAGACAGGAATATGATCTCCCACCAAAGCTGTAAAATAAAAAATGCATTGTTTTAACCACATACCTGTAAACAACTGCTTTTCCAGCTCCAAATGCACCTACAATTAAATCTGAAAAAAAAAAAAAGGCAGCTTCAGAAGAACTATGTAGTAGCCTCTCATACATTTTTTCCAGGATAAACTAGATTATATATATGTAATAAAAATGCAGTAATGTAAAACAAATGTGACAATTCCTTTCTAAGTAATTTTTTCAAAATCGGACCTGAAAGAAAACATTTCACATTGTCAAGGACTGTCTCATAAACGTCTTTATTAGTAAATCCAAATCTGTTTAACACAAGGTCACCCATGCCACAATCTTGCTTATCTCCAACTTGTAACAGATGGGAAAAAGAATGCCATTAATCCTCATACATTTTATTCCAAAGCATTAACTGGCCAAATCATTAATTGGCCGTTACACAAATTGATGCAAACCACTTTGCTGTCACTCTCAGGTCGTCTTGAAAATTTATAGTGTTCCTTCTTGACAATCCTTTCTGTCCTGCTTTGTTTTTTAAGTAATTTGTTCGTTAATTTAAGCATTACATCTCTGTGTGCCTGAGAACAATGAACAGGTCAGAGTATGGCTGATTTCGTAGTTTCTAATGTTTTCAGCATTGTAGCAGCATGTGGTAAGGCTTATCACAGTTATCCATCTAAAAGCATGTTCTTCCCCATCAGTCACCATTTAGAACAGATGGAGTCAGCAACATGAGCATTACACTGAGCCTTGGGCACATCTTTACTACTGGACACCAGCCTGGGTTAGGAATCTGTAGGACCAAATATTTGTCCTTTTTTCCTAGAGTCCTCACACAGAGCTCTCGGAAAGATCCAGCCTGGCTTGCTGGACCACTCAGGCCTGCTGGAAAAGAGCTGGAGCCAAGCAGTGAGGAAAAAGGATCAACTTTCCTGCTGCCTCTAGCTGGAGCACAGTTCAGGAAAAAGAAAGAGCTTTGTTTCCTCACTGAGTGTCCTGGTGTCCATCTGGGCACCCCTGTCACTTCACTGTTGTTATCATATAATTTAATTTACACATAACCAATTCAATAGACCGAGTCTTACAACAGACCTTGCATGGCAACCTAAACTGATCTAAATGAGTTAATTAAACCATTACTTTGGGTTGTAAACAAATCTCAACTTGCTGCTTCAATGGTTTGAGCACCAAAGAAGCCCTGAAGTCATTGAGCAAGAGGCAAACACAGAGCTTTGATGCTAATTAGCTGGGTGGGTTTGGGCCAGGACTGGCAGTGTGTTTCCAGCGCTCTGTCTGCCTTTCAGATGGTCAGGATTTCAAAACTTTAAACAAGAACTCCACACGGGCAACAGCCTGTCCTACACTGAATTCCTCTGAATAATGTCCTAATAGGAGCAGGCATGGACAGTTTATGGGTCTGATCCTCTTTTTGTACAACATTTACATTCTTCTACTTCCATTGCCCTTAGACAAATATGCTTCAGCGTTAGGAACACTTTAAAGAGCAGAAGAAAGTGAGTGCTGTTTCTGCCTCCTTTTTTTGGACATTTATGAGTCTTTTTTATTAGCAGTTTTTATAGACAACTTTCCTACAGTACCAAAACCTGAAGATATTTTCCTCTTAAATAAACAACTGATTGAGACATAGCCATCATCATATCAGCTACACAACACACATGATAGAACTTTTCCTGGCAGCTCCCTGACAGCAGCATCAACAGTAAGCCCCTCAAAACATTTAATATTCTATTGGGTTTTGTTTGTGGATTTTTGTGGTCTTTTTTCTTCTTTTTATTTTTTTTTTTAAAAAAAAGGAAAAAAGAAACACTATGTTTTGAAAAGAAAGTGAAAGACAAGAAGAAAGAGGCTTCTGTTCTGTTGTTCACAGCTGGAAACTCTTTATGAATGCTGCAACAGGCTTAACTTAGGATATGTATTGTTTCATACTAGACTTGATAACTCAAAAAGTTTCAGTACAGAACTATGTTACGGCAGAGACAAAAGAGGTAGATATACAACACTTATCCAGATCCCAGACTTGTGAAGATTGCATAATCTGATCTTTCACTAAAAACTAAGGCATTCCAACCCTTCACGCTCACAAGGGAAAGCTTGAACACACAACATGAACAAGTTTAATAAATGTGACTTGTTTGAATCTTAAGGTAAAAAGGACTCTGTCAGAAAGAGGTAGTCTCACTGGCATGAGTGAACTCTTATTTTCAGTATCTACAGGTGCACAGACTTAAGTCCCCACTGTCTTGGCATCTCTACACTGATATTAAAGTTAATAGTTTAGTTAATAGTTTAATCGCTAAATGCTGGTTTCTCTGGGACTGAACTCAGCATATTTGAAGACAGACGGTAATGGTTCTAGAGGAGCAATGACAGGCCCCAGTCACCAAAAGATTGGTTTTCCATGAGCAGTCTTTCTGCATTGCCACCTCAGCCAGGTTTAGAGACATAGCAAAAAAAGCTGAGGACATTCAATCATGGCACCATCGCAAAAGTCCTATTTGAGCATATTCTTACGGGCAGTCAGGACTGTGTTCATTCTGCTCTCCTTTGAAAGCTTTCTTTTTCTCCAACGTGTCCTTTATTCTCTGATCTGAGCCATGCTTATTCTAGACTCAAAGAGCTTTAATGAGTGAAACTATCCCGTAGGAAAAGTGGACTTAAGAATGAATATGCAAACAATAAAACGTACTTATACTCAGTAGTGACATCTACAATCTAATATAAGGACCAAGTCATTGCATATTCAAGCAGAGTATTCACTAGAAGTTCCATTAGGTCTTCATCTTTGCTTCTACTTGTTCTGTTACAGAGCAATAGTTTTATTCTTTCTTTTGTTGCCTTGTGGGGTGCAACACCCATAACTCATCACTGGAAAAATAATTTTTGACAATGACACGAATCCATGAGATTTGAACACACATCAAATCAAAGCACTTTTATAAGCAGAAGTTTTGAATTTGTTGTGTGTTCTGCAGAAGAAAAGTTATTAATCATTTCTATGAAAAAATGCATGAGATGTCAAAATTATCTGAAGTTTGGCAACCTTCTCCTCCTAAAAATAGAGAGAAGTTGTCTTTATTCATTGCTTGTTAATGCTGCACACGCAATGTCACTGAGGCAAAGGTCACTAGCTGAAAATAAGGGTTTAACAAACAGTTTGGAATTACATAGCAAAGAAAGCAAGCTTTACTATAACACTTCCAAACAGAGCCCAAAGGAAACCATTTGAAAACTTTTGCTCTTTTGTATTTGTGAGGGTTTTTTTTCAAGCACAGATTAAAATGCGTATAAAGAAAGAATGAGAAAAAAAAGCATCAGAATAACAAAATCTTTTTCACTCCTTTTCTCATATTTCATGTTTTCAGGAGGATGAGGGACATCATAGACTTAAGTAAAGGACCACTTTGCCTATGTCATCTCACTGAGAAGATCCTTTATCAGTTGCTACCCTCCAGAGAAGCAGAGATCCATAAGGGGCTGGTGGCAGCAGCCGTGCTCTTCTGCCTCATTGCTGTTGCAGAATAAATGAGCTGTGGGGTCACAAACACACTGCAAAAACTAAGAAAACAAGCACAGAGTGACTGCAAAGGAATTTAAAACTTGCATTTCAACACAGCTTGAGGGTTGCGTACATTAAAATTGCAACTGGCAAAGTTCACAGAGCTTAATACTGAAACAAGTGTCTTCGGCATGTACTTAACTGAAGTTAAGGGGCTCTGTGCAAAGCTGAACAACCCTAACACTTATTTCAAATTTTACTTTGCTATGAAGGGAAGGCTCTTCCAAGATATTATCATAATAAAAAGGAAAGAGTATTCACAGATGGCACTGAAAGGCACACTGGATTTTGTAAGCTCATCTGTTTACCTGCATCTTCTGCCACATGGCTGTGCCAGACCTGAAACAGCATGTAATATAGGACAGAAACTTGTCATGATGCTGACTAAGCCTTCAATCAACTGGAGGAAGTAAGAAGATCAACAAAGTCCTACCTCCAGTCCCAACAAGACATATTTGTTTATTAACTTGAACAAATTCTTTGACCCTCTGGTATTTTTAAAGGACATCTGCACCCCCTGTGAGAGACGCAGCCCCAGGCAGTCAGAGCAGGGAGGAACACACAGCGTGCTCACACCCCACACTTAGTTGGAGTCTGTCCAGCAATCCCAAGAGAAACTACCAAGGTATAGTATCTCATCTCACTTTATGGGGGACAGTGGCCAACAACGACAGGCGAGGAAGAACTACATAACTGGCCCACACTTCACTTGTGAGAAGCCCAAAAGTGGAACAACAGATAGCTGAGTCACTTCCCCACTGTGACTCCACCAGGATGCAGGCAGGAAAGCATTGATTTTATGGATGCAGAATGATTTGCTGACAGCTTTAAACATCACGTTGTGTAGTCTGTCAGTTTAATTGCGTGCTATAAACAGGAACTGGAAAACAATTAGAATCCTAGCTGAGAACAGGTACTAATGGAAATTGCATAGAAGAGAGTGAGAAAACTGCTAACTGGAAACTCTACTAAGAAAATCTTGGTGAGCCTTTTTGGTTTTTATTTCCCTCAGTGAATCAGGCACCAAAAAGGCCCATGATCAGATTTCTATTTGTTTTCTAGGATTTCAGAGAGCATTACACTCCCATGTATCAGTAGGAAAGGTCCAGAGTAAAATTCCCTTTAAATGACCATTATTTCAGGCTTAACTATAATAAAGGACACATGATGATCCAGATCAGCCAACTTTGCTCAAGAATTTTAGTTAAATACTAAAAAAAGCCACCATGCAAACCAGAGTCACTTTCTTCAATCCTACCATTCTCAACTGCCTTGATCCTTCGCTGTTTTTCAACCTTAGTGGTAGCAGGTCTGTTAAGGACAACACCTAAGACTAATTCATTTCAGTGTTTCTCTTTTTTCTGAATGAGTCCCTTTCATTAATACAATTATTCACTTCATTATACTATAAACAAATCCAGAAGGGGGAAGTTAATGTTCTATCACTTTCGTAAATCCCCATTTACTGGGATTACTGAGTTTATTCTTATATTACGTTGGGCACAATAT